TACAGGTTCCAGTGGTCAGTATCTGAGCTCATCAAAAACCCAGGATTTCGAATCCTGATTTTCAAAGCAAGTACACACTTATATGATTGATACAGCACGCTCTTCATATGACACGGTGTCATACTACGCTAATCTAAGGAAATATTTACATCAACCAACTCAAAATATGTTTTATCCCCCCCCCCCCCGTTTTTTTTTTTTTTTCACAATAATGTTCACTCCGTCCAATGCTCGGGAGGTATTCGAGGTTGGGGGGTTACAGAGTACGAGGCACAGTTTATGGGGAAATGTGGGGAAGATAACGGTTAACCCTAGACTTGAAGATTGTAGTGATCGGGAAAACATCGGCTTGGGAGTCGGTTCCACAGAGCAGCGGAACGTGGGAAGAAGCTGCTCGAATGGAACATACATCTCACCAAGGGAACACGAACAATGTGAGGGTGATTCGCTACAATGTCCGTAGCATGGCGGGTCTTAAGGTTATAATTGGTGGAACTAAGGAATGTAGTTTGTGTACTTTTCATGGTATTAGCGACAGAGCAGTGAGAGGATTGCGAAGTTTCGCCTGTGGGAAAGTGGTTGTAGGGTGGAAAATCATTTGTCACTCGCAAGGACGCGGAAACGCTTTTGAACTCTATGGAGACTGGAAAGTAAAGACTGGACAGCTCCTGCCCATATTTGGAAACAGTACTCCATTTTTCGACCTGATCTGGCACTTGTAAAGGTAGAGCATAGCACGAGTATCTCCTTTTCGTCATTAATTTTATGACAATGATTATCACCGACTTGGTACTTGTACATGAAGAGCTAAACCCTTTTCAATTTTATAAAAGTATATCTTGCATTTATTTATCTTATCCCCCACTCCAACCCCGCATAACTCGGATTCCTTTTACATTCCCCGAATTTTAAGTAAGCGACATAGGTAGGAAAATATCATAAAATAAAAAAGCAACCCGAGCATTGATATGAAAAACAACAATAAAACGAATAGGTATGTAAAAAATAATGCGAATGTTTCAGCAAAAAAGTGTTTCAAGAATACTGAAAGCTTAAGATTGGCAGAACTAAGCAATTTTAATACTTACCCATACATAAATTCTCAGAGTTCCCAGATTTGAAAAAAAATATGTGTCGCATTTCATTCCAGTGGAAAATTAGATAAATTACTTGCGAATGAACTAAGTTAGAGTCTTACTGGAGCTTCCCATATCCCTTAGCCGTATGCCCAGTAAATATGTATAGCTGGCCACTCGTATTCGAGGATACCAGTCTACTAGGACGGCTAGCCAATCCCTATTGCAGACGCTTGCTCAGGCGCATTTGTGTTTATTCAACACCCACAGAGCCCAACTGTACTTTATACTGCAACTATGCTGACCTTAGTTAGTTTCTGGCGTGATCAACAATTTGAACAAGGCCAGCGCTTTCAAGCCCACGGTCACGATGACTTGTGACTTCGTGCTAGCACAGCTATCGACCGTCTACCTCACAAAGCTTGGGTCAACCAGTGGTATTGTTTTCAGGCACTTTCTAAAGGTGCCACACGCTGGGATCGACCCTTCCAGTTTGATAACACTTTCCTGACAAATCGACCATTCGAATCGGGGTCTCATGATCACAATGCGAACGTTCTCGGCTATGTGCTCATATTCAGTAAATATAATACCTATTAAAATATGACCGGTCAAAACGTAATGTCTGTTTTAAGTTAATTTTTAAAATATTAGAATTCCTATAGAGTTTTCTTTTTCTTTTATTTACTTACTTATTTTAGCGATGAGCCATAAAGTTTCGAGAAACCCAAGGAGAAAATCTTTGACGTTACCTTAACTTTTCCTATATATAATACCCTTTCAAAAAATTTGCTGCCCCTCTGGCAAAGCCGGTGTGAGGGTCTCATGTCCCACCCGAATTTCTGATATGGGGCCACCTACTCTACATCATCTCAATTTTCTTAAGGTAGTATTCATATAAAATACAAATTCTATTGTAACCTAATCATCTACAATAATGGATCTTATTTAGTATAGGTGAACAATTCAAAATAAATAAAATGTATCTAAATACAAATTAGAGATATATCATAATAGATCATTCCATCATAAATAAATCAACAATGTTTTGCGGTGATTTTTGACATCAACCTAAGATTTTTCTTGTTAAAAAGTTGAAAAATTTTAACACATTCAACATTAGGGATAAAAAATAAAGACTTAGCATCAGCAAAACAAATTCACGGATTTAGAAGCAGAAAAAGAAAAGAAATATAGATAGATCCCAGACTGATATCAAAATCCTCAGAAACATTTTATCCTTTAATAGTCAGTTGTGCCTAGTTTAATTTGTAACAAAAATGTTGGGGGGGGGGTTCGAGGTTACTACCAACGGAACCTGCCTTCTGGACACACGTAGAAAAGCTTTTAAAAAATCATTAGAAACAAAGAAAAGAGTGTTTGATTGCTGTGTGTTATACGACCTCTTATATAGCAGTGAATGCTGGACACTCAGAAATTATTAGAAAAAACTACTATTGAGAAGAAAGGACAATAAAAGAACAAGAATTAAGAAAACAGAAGATAGCGATTGACAATGAATTTAAATTTTTGAAGATTATCGTTGACTGGGAAACAAGACGGAAGAGAGTTCCACAAGCGAGAAGTGCGAGAGAAGAAACTGTTAGCATAGAACTTACGGTTACATCTAGCCATTTCAAATGTAAAATGATACCACTTTATCATCAATCTAGTAGTGCTCTCAAATTCATAAAATCTAGTTACCTTTTTGAATACAAGGTTTTCACTGGTTATAAAATAGCGAAAATATTTTTCTCGAATTTATGGGAGTGGTGAAGGGAGTTATTGTCATTTTTTTCTAAATGCTCCAAAAATTACATGTGGTAGGTCTACAATTACGTCCGCAAGTATTTGGGCGGTATTTGCCCTTGTCATGATTGTTTATCAAACATTCTGACGGGATTTTATTGGTTGGAAAAAAAATATATATATATAGGAGCTAATTCCTATAAACTCACTAATCAGAAGTAATGGTCTACCAAACTAACCTTGCTAACCATTAAACCACACTGTTAGTTGATTTTACGATATATCTTATGCTGGTTTATGTAATGTCGGATTTTATATGGAGCACCCAGTGAGGATCAAACTCACTACTTATCAGACCAGCCTTGCTAACCATTACACCACACTGAGTGTTGGTTGGTTGGTTGATTTTATAACATGTCAACATTTCATGTCAGATTATTTTATGGGGCACCCAGTGAGTATCGGACTAACTACTCAGTAGTAATTGTCAACCAAACTAGACTAGTTAAACTTTATGCGCTACCCAGTGACTTTACTACTACATCACCACTTCTATATGTCGTGTCCATTTAGGACAGGCGATCATGGATCGCCACAACTTCCTGTCCTTTATAGCTTTCTGTATATGTTTTTTTTTTTTTTTTGCTTTTGTTTTTTGCTACAACTCCTAATCCCTGTTCTGTCAAAATTTTGACATTGTAAGCCTGTGCTGCAATTAAAGAACAGTTATTACTTTTTGACAGACCCTTCATATTACCAAATCCTTTCTACTAGTTTGAGGGAGGTAATGTTATTATTTTTAGAGTTCGCTTGTGTTCGCTTCATAAAGGCATGAATCCACATCCCTGTTGGTTGTGCAATCTCTAGATATCTTGTCAAATGTTTTATCTCTGGCTTAAGATAATGTATAGGGAAACGGAGTGGGTGAGTCGACAAGTAGGTCAAAATCCCTCTCCTGGTCGCCTGGAAAACAAGTAGGAAACGGTTCCATTGAATGTCAACGATGCGAAAAGCTATTTCCTGGAAAATGAAGTTCTGGGATAAAAAGAAGCTTATTATCACTTCTATCAAACGAATTTTTCTGTCAATGATTTATCATTCTTAATTGTTGTTGTTCACAGTTCCAGCCTGACACGAGGTGATAGCACCTGTTAGGGTCCCAATTATGGGCAAATGGTAAACCCCAAAACAAAATCAAAACGCTAGGAAAGCATAAAAATACATTTTTAATAAAAACACCAGCAATTCATTTTTATAAAAAAAACAAAAAAAAAAAAAAACAATTATTACCAATAATACAACGCTAAAAATAGTATAAATACATTTGTACAGTAAAATTACAGGCAATACATTTTTTTTAAATTATCCAAAAATCCATACAAAAAAAATTACCAGCAATACATAAAATAAAATTACCAGCTATACATTTTTTAAAATTGCCAATAAAATATTTTATCATCTCCACACTATATCTAAAAAAATACAGACGTTTGCCCTGAAGGTATAAAATTGTGTTCAAATTATCTAAATTTCGACACTAAATCACCCATAGAGGTTGCGATGCTGCTAAACAAAATCAACCAACCAACTTAGAAGAATGAAATCAAGTGAATTGTGTGCACGATCTACATTCTATGTATGGAAAAGGACGGGAAGAGATTGATAAGACAAAGAAACCGGAGGGAGGGATAAAAGAACAAAGAATGACAGAAGAGTGAGAAGAGACATGCAAAAAGAAAGAGAGAGACGGATACAGAAGAAGTCATACAAACGAGAAGAGTGAGTCATACAAACGAGAAGAGTGAGTCATACAAACGAGAAGAGTGAGTCATACAAACGAGAAAGAGTCATACAAACGAGAAGAGTGAGTCATACAAACGAGAAGAGTGAGTCATACAAACGAGAAGAGTGAGTCATACAAACGAGAAGAGTGAGTCATACAAACGAGAAGAGTGAGTCATACAAACGAGAAGAGTGAGTCATACAAACGAGAAGAGTGAGTCATACAAACGAGAAGAGTGAGTCATACAAACGAGAAGAGTGAGTCATACAAACGAGAAGAGTGAGTCATACAAACGAGAAGAGTGAGTCATACAAACGAGAAGAGAGTCATACAAACGAGAAGAGTGAGTCATACAAACGAGAAGAGTGAGTCATACAAACGAGAAGAGTGAGTCATACAAACGAGAAGAGTGAGTCATACAAACGAGAAGAGTGACGCTGACAGAAGGTGAAAGAGAGTGGCAATTGAACAGACAGAAAAGAAATGAGGAGAGACGTGGAGGCAGACAGAAGAAGGTGGATGACAGACATAAAAAAGGGGTGTGGCAGACGAAGAGAGGGAATGAGACAAGAAAGAAAGTGGACAGACAGAAGAGAGTTCAGGAAAAAGAGCGGACAGGCAGACGGAATAGAGATGAAGAAACAAAAGTGAAAGAGGGATGAAGAAACAAAAGTGAAAGAGGGATGAAGAAACAAAAGTGAAAGAGGGATGAAGAAACAAAAGTGAAAAGGGATGAAGAAACAAAAGTGAAAGAGGGATGAAGAAACAAAAGTGAAAGAGGGATGAAGAAACAAAAGTGAAAGAGGGATGAAGAAACAAAAGTGAAAGAGGGATGAAGAAACAAAAGTGAAAGAGGGATGAAGAAACAAAAGTGAAAGAGGGATGAAGAAACAAAAGTGAAAGAGGGATGAAGAAACAAAAAGTGAAAGAGGGATGAAGAAACAAAAAGTGAAAGAGGGATGAAGAAACAAAAGTGAAAGAGGGATGAAGAAACAAAAGTGAAAGAGGGATGAAGAAACAAAAGTGAAAGAGGGATGAAAAACAAAAGTGAAAAGAGGATGAAGAAACAAAAGTGAAAGAGGGATGAAGAAACAAAAAGTGAAAGAGGGATGAAGAAACAAAAGTGAAAGAGGGATGAAGAAACAAAAGTGAAAGAGGGATGAAGAAACAAAAGTGAAAGAGGGATGAAGAAACAAAAGTGAAAGAGGGATGAAGAAACAAAAGTGAAAGAGGGATGAAGAAACAAAAGTGAGAGAGAGAGAGGAGGAAACAAAAGTGAGAGAGAGAGAGGAGGAAACAAAAGGAGAGAAAGGCAAAAGTGAGAGAGAGAGAGAGGAAACAAAAGTGAGAGAGAGAGAGAGAGGAAACAAAAGTGAGAGAGAGAGAGAGAGGAAACAAAAGTGAGAGAGAGAGAGGAGGAAACAAAAGTGAAATAGAAAGAACAAAAGGTTAGATAACACAAAGGAAGAGAAGTGAGGGCGGGCTACAGATAGGTGAAGGCAGTACAAACAGAAAGGTATAGCGGACGGAAAGAAGAGAGAGAGAGAGAGAGAGTGAGGGGGGAACAAATAAAATAGGGTTGTGGAGGTACAGATGAGAGAGAAAAGCTATAAGGACAGACAGACAGAAAAGAGAATATAAGGACGGCTCTGTACATGCTAAGGTCAAGTATTTTGAGGGTAGATGCATCGGGTGATGATCAGACAGACGAAGTCGTTGCAGTGAAAGAAATTCAGACTAAGGGCAGAAGTGCAGCATGATATGAAAAACGACACACAAAGAATGGAAGCACTTTAGAAGTGACGCAAAGAAAGGAAATTGGATTCTTTTAAGTGAAATTCTGGCATTTCCCCCAATCTTTTGCAAAATCGGTAAAGTGAACAGACAGTAGGCGTAGAAACATCGCAGGCTCACAATAGTGACATGGCGAAAATGACATTGATGGGTCGGTAAATTCAGTTCTTAGATCTGAATCTACGATGGTCAAAGTTTTCTTTTTTTTTTTTAAGGTTTTGTAAGAACACTTTTTTTTTTTAAACCTTATTGCGTTCTTCCCAGCTACATGAGTGCACTCAAAGACTTAAGATGCCGACATATGGTGCAGATGTAAAGAAATAGTAAAGTTGATTGATAAATGGATATGTATGATCGGCAAAAGAACAAAATTACTACCATTAGGTTGTGAGATAAGCACTTTACAGATGCCTTTCTCTTATGTATGATGCTCCAAGCCATAAACATTACAAATATCGCAAGTTATATACCGGGTGTTCATCCCTATCCAAATAATTTATCAGGTCTTCTGTCAAAGTTGATGTCTTAAAATATCTAGATACCTAGTGAGGATCGATCTCGTTGGAAAGTAATCGCATGCGAAATAACTGAATACCTGAGAGAGAGAAAAAGAGAGAGAGAGAGAGAAAAAGAGAGAGAGAGAGAGAGAAAAAGAGAGAGAGAGAGAAAAGAGAGAGAGAGAAAGAGAGAAAGAGAAAAGAGAAAAAGAGAAAGAGAGAAAAGAGAAAAAGAAGAGAAAAGAGAGAGAGAGAAAAAGAGAGAGAGAGAGAGAAAAAGAGAGAGAGAGAGAGAAAAGAGAAAGAGAGAAAAAGAGAAAGAGAGAAAAAGAGAAAGAGAGAAAAAGAGAAAGAGAGAAAAAGAGAAAGAGAGAGAAAGAGAGAGAGAAAGAGAGAGAGAAAGAGAGAGAGAGAAGAGAGAAAGAGAGAGAGAAAGAGAGAGAGAAAGAGAGAGAAAAGAGAGAGAGAAAGAGAGAGAAAAGAGAGAGAGAAAGAGAGAGAAAAGAGAGAGAGAAAGAGAGAGAGAAAGAGGTTTCTTCTGGAAGATTTTACAAGGAAAATAGTACTAAACTGCTGTATGATATCTGTCCTCCTAAATTGCAGTGAGTACTGGACGATCTCCTCAAAGGTGAAGAGGAGACTTGAAGCAACAGAAATATGGTTCTACAGAAGGGTGCTGAGGATACCGTGGACTGAAGATGTCAGTAACGACGAAGTTTTGGAGAAAATGGAAACAAAAAGGAAACTCATGTAGCCGGGAAGAACGCAATAACGTTAAAAAAAAAAAAAAAAAAAAAAAAAAGAGAGAAAGAGTAAACAGTATTAACACTAGGAAGAGACAGTTGAGTTGTCTAGGGAAGGACGGCTCGGAAAATCTGATACCCACGGGACAAATAGAAAGTAAGAGGCATAGAGGAAGACAACGCATAATATACTTAATGAGCTTGACTAAATGAATACCGGAACAGAGTTTATGAGAAATAACAGAAAGACAAAGTTTATTAAGAGCTACAAGAAAGAAGAAGATGCGAAGAGCCATGATCGCCTCCGTACTGGAGGGCACGGTACATATAAAAGAAGAGGGGGACTAAGTGGAAAAAATTCGTGTGATGCATTTCGTCGCTTAGAACTTCATCGTACTAAAGTAATGTTTACGTTGATCTAATTAGACATGCACATTTTAAATTATTATTTTTTAAATATATATTTTGTTATATAGTCTAGCCAATTTCATTGAGTTTTTTCTTTTTGCTTATAGCTTTATCACTTTTGTTATTAAATATTCCACATTGTGATAATAGAAGGTCTGCCAAGAAAGGTGAATATTTACATTATTCGGACTTATGCTCACTCTCACTGCCATATGCACAACATTTCGGCCTTCTTCAGGTGAAGGAAATTTTGAACCAAACCCTTTATTTCGTCTACCGAAGTAGATTGGTTAGATCCAGTGACTAAACCCAAAAAGTTGTGAGTTCAATACCAGGATACAACAGTGGTGAACACAAAAAATTAGAGACTTGAGTTAAAGGGAAATAACTGAGACATCCGAGAGAGGCATGGGACGTGGAACTAGAACATGCCCGAAAATTATTTTAATATATTTTCTGTTTATACGTTACTTTTTATAGATACAAATATTTAAGTAAATGCTCTGTTTATAATAAACAGTATTAACAACATTTACCTGCCTGAATGTCCGAGAAATTTCATAAAAAATATATGTTCTCCGACAAGAATCGAACCTGTATCGTACACGGAACCGTCATATAACCTGACGTGCTAACCAGATGTTAATACTGTTTATTATAAACAGAGTATTTACTTAAATATTTGTACCTATAAAAATAACGTATAAATAGAAAATATATATATATATATATATATATATATATATATATATATATATATTAGGTATAGCGGAGGGTAAATCAAACAACTAGATGTTAGCACGCATATACAGATAAGCAAATAAATGTTTACTAAATTTACTTTAAGATGTAAACAAAAGAGTGCTTAATGTGGTTAGGCAGAGCTAAGAAATATATATTAATAAATATACATATAATTACATTTGGAGTACAGCTTAAGTTTCGTTGTTTTACCAACTCATTGGGCACGAAATATTACTTCAATAATAGTAATATTTCGTGCCTGATGAGTTGGTAGAACAACGAAGCTTAAGTCGTACTCCAAACGTAGGTATATGTATATTTATTAATATAAGTAAAAACAGCTCAAATGCAAAATAAAATTCGGGAGATTTATGGATTTAGTACTGAGAAGAGAGAACACATGGTCGGCAGCAAAAGAGGCAGTCCAAAGTGTGAGCTATGTATTGGGGACGTTGAAATTAAAAAGGTCCAAAAATTTAGCAATATGGGTAGTTACTCTTTAACTCTCTACCACGAGTGGCTTTGTACATTTAAAATAAAAGAAGTAAAGGTTTGCTTTACAACAATGTGGAGCAAAAGAGATTATGGAACAAAGAAAATAACTACTAACCATACAAAATGACCAAATGATGATGTGTATATGGTGGGTATTGAAACGTAGCTTTGTACTATGAGATCTTTGAAGAGAACGAAACTGTTGATTTTGATTCAAATAAGTTCTGCTCTTCATTAGATTAATTCAAAGCAATAATTGATGAAAAACATCCGAAATTAGTCAAGACAAAGAACATAATAATTTAACAATGTACAGTATGACCCGGATATAAGAGAGATTTTCTCTGGTCCCAAATTAGAGCCTGTGTTAATGTATATAAAATAGACCAAACCCGGATATAAGAGAAACCCGGATATAAGAGACTTCTCCGGTCCCGACAACTCTCTTATATCCGGGTTACACCGTAATACTAAACCACTTATTTCTTTGTTGACGAGCCAAAATTGTTCTAAAGAGTTTAGCGGGTGGATACCATATTATTGAAAAACATTAGTTTTGCGTTGCCCCACTATCTTTTGTTATTTTTCAATAAACTTCATAATTTTTGTAGAGAATTTTTTCCTCAACAAAGAACCGTTCGTACCATTTTCAGTCTGCCAGGGAAGGGGATATTTTTAGTAAAATATCCTTAGAAAGACTAGCATAAAACCGTAATCTGAAGGAGCGATATGCAGTGAATTCAGCTAAATTTCGAAGTCAAGCTTTTAATCGGGTCACAAGCCACTCGAGGAAAAACAGTGACCGACGCCTCAATCTAGGTCAGTCGAACATCATAAGCGTTTTTTTTTTATTGCTTTTGAAACATTCATCCTTTTATGGCCCCAGCCTTATGCCCTTACCACTGAGTAATTCTTTCCAAGGAAACTCTTTGCACTTATCAAGCATTCCTCTCATATCTACAGGAATTACTATTCCTCATTCACCTCACAGATTGAACTGGCCTTATCTTAATCTATAACGTCTGCCCTCTGTTGATAACACCAACACACACAGAATTAAAAGATTTACTTTTCGATTCTAAAATTCCTGATCATTATCTTGAACTACACGTTGTTTTGTGTATCTCTATCCTCGAGAAATCTTTAGCAGAAGTCAACTTGTAGGGGCCTGCTCAAATTGAATTTAGGTAATAATGGCACCGGTGAAAATGGTACAAGGGAAAAAATAGGAAAAATAAGTTTATTGAAATATACAATATTGGCTAAAATGTTGGTTTTGAATTAAATCTAATTTAAAAAAAAAAAAAATGTATATTCAGAGTAACCTTGGTTCTCGAACGTTTCACATGTCGAACAAATCGGTTTTCGAACTGAAAATTCGAGATGAAAATGCCTTGGTTCTTGAACAAAATTACCGATCCAAACTGAGTTAAACCGAACGGAGTCATTTCTGAGTCGACCGCCTTGTTGTATATATTCGAGTGATGTGCTGTGCTTTTTTCCCCCCAATTTTATTGAACTGTGCTTTTTTTTCTCTTTATTAGTCCTTAGTCATGGATTTTAAAAAAAAGCTAGCAATGATATTGGTAAATGAAAAAGAGAGAAGAGAAAAACAATTATTGATGATATTTTCTCTTCCAACTCGGTTTCATATGGCAAAATCAACGATCTATACAATTCTTATAAATAAAGAGACGATCATGTCTTTCCTTCCCTTTTTGCAAACAATAACATCTCTTTCCTTCCCCTTACGCCATCAAATCTCCTACTTACAGGTACGGTAAAATGAAAATGTTCGTCTATATCTTTATTTGCTTACTATTGGGTTTATTTTTTTCTTAGATTTAATGATTTTCATTAGTTCTGTGTATAAACTTGTGCACAAAGTACTGTTGTAAAAGTTCAAATAAGCAATCATCTTGGGACTAGGAACGGATTAATCCATTTTAGATTGATTCCTATTAGGAGAATAGTTTCGGGTTACGAACGGTCTTCAGGAACAAATTTGTGAACCGAGGTTCCACTGTATCATATATTACATTTTATTTATTTATTCATTTTTAATATTAGCAATAAAAGTAGAATTGTTTTACCTACATTTGTTAACAAATTTATACGTTTAAAATTATGAAAAACTATTACAATAAAATCAAATGTTTAGACATAAGCACACTGTTTTATATCAACCTTTAAAAATAGAATTTAATATCTAGAGTCTTATATTGTGGCCAAGTTCTTGTAACTCCTGATCAAGGTTTTTCCTTCTTTCTGTGTTGTCTTTGCATAAATTCTTCAGTCTTTGTTGTAGATCAACTTATACTTTGATTTCTTCCACTTGTGACATTTTACCGATTCAATTTTACTGTTCACTGCTCAAATTACCTCCCCCTTTGAGTTAATTTACCTTAAAAAATAAGATAGCAATTAGTCGTAATCACAATTAATATAGTAAACAAGCTATCACTTGTGGTAAATTAATTTCAAACAGTAATTTATTTACATAATTATTAGTTTGAACCATAAGTTATTTCCGTTTTGGGGAACGGTTGTATTATCCAAATCTCGTAGAAAAGCGAGACGTAACAAAAAAGAAGAAACAACATGGCGGACTGAACACGTTATGTATCTGTATATTACAGTTAATAAAATCTCGTTAATCGTCAACCTGGCATTCTTTATCACAGGAATCAATTGCAATAACAAATGTATCATCCTAACTACTAATTATACGTATTAGTTACTAAATTTGGAGGACACTAACATTCTATTATAACAAGCTGAGCAAAAAAAAAAAAAAAAAAAAAAAATTGGGATAAATTGGTATTACGATAATTCTATAGTAAATACAGTCGTCCATATTTTTATATAAAAAAATTTGAACGTTCGAATATCAAACAATAATAAAATAAAAACATAGAAAACATGGGTATGCCTGTTAAAAAAACCATTTGCATTTACAAACATATATACATGAACAAAATAATTTTCTGGAATAATGGATTTATTTATTTATCAATCTGACAGATTTTTATCACTTTAAACGTTATTTTTAATGGATACTCATATTTGAATAGACGTTCTGTTTATTTATTAAACAGTATATTTATTTTCGTCTACCGGCCTGAATATTCATGAAATCTTATTAAAGAAAAATATAAGAATATATATATTAGAAAATTACTTTGTTTACGTTTGGAGACGAAGCTGAGAAGAATTTCATTTAAAGGCGCAGTTCAAAGTTTGCTTCATTGGCAAATCGGTTAAAGCATGTCACAACTCTTAACGGTTGCCTCTTCCAGAGGGATGCAGATTTGCATCATACCGGAGAGCGCATATTTCTATTTAATAAGAGCTCTTGGATACTCGGGCCGGTAGACGAAAATAAATGAATATGCTGTTTAATAAATAAACGAAGCGTCTACTCAAATATGAGTATCTACTAAAAATAACGTTTAAAGTGTCAAATATATAGATGAATTGAAAGGAGTTAAAAAGTATAAAATAGTCTCTGGCTGAGTTAAAGACTAAATAATTGGTTCACAGAAAAATCCGTGATTGGAAAAGACTGATCGTCGGAAAAGATTCACTGACTGTCTTTGTTGTTGTAGAAATTGCCTACATATGTTTCTTTCAGCACATGCTGGTGGAGGGGATGAAAAGTGATGCAGCCATGACATCACACACACATATATGTGTATGTGTGTGTGTGTGTGTGTGGCTCGGGAACAGCCGCATCACTCAATTTTAAAATCGAAATCTTTGTGTGTTTTATAAGAAAATGTTTTCGCGAAAGTTGGCCCGAGATAAATAAGGTTTTAGTTTTCTCTGATTGGTGAACATTTTCACATAGTGAAATTTCTACCCAATAGATAGTTTGATTGAAACGGCGTGTGTTGTATTGTGGAATCGTTTAGGCATGTTTGTAATATTGTCTGTTATTTATTTGAAAATAAATTTTGGGCGTGTTTTAATATTGTGTGTATGTGGGTATGTAATTGTGTTAGAAATAGGGTTTATTTCCCATAAATCAATTATACTAAGATTCTATAGGAAGATAACACTTGTCTCAAATATCAGCATTCGGGAAAAAAAAAAAAAAAAAAAAAAAAGAAAAAAGAAAACTGTTTTTATAACTGAGCACCAACCGCACCAGTAGGAAATATTCAACTCTCTCGACCAATGGACAAACTCAGAATAAGTTTTATTTATTCTATCGCTTTCGTCTCTTGAATAACGTACTTTGTAGCCAACAATTTTAGCGTTTAACCACAGAGCTATCAAACAAGAACAAACTAAAGATGGGGACAACTAAAATGTCAACGAAATTCACCGAAATTAAATGCAAATTATGTTTATTGTTTAAGTAACATTTATTTTCATTCAGATTTAAACAACACAGACAACTCAATTGCTGAGAATAAAAATCAGGTCCTTTTTTTCCCCCCGTTTGTTTCTTGTTATTTTTTGTGGGGGGAATTTTGTGGTTTTGAATCTTTTCTCGAGAACTCGCGTCTCTCGGCTTACGTATCTGACCTTTTGCGTATTCTGCAAAAATAAAAAAAAATACTCGCACGTTTTCTTATGTCGCAATGAGTTGATGTCCAGTGTCAGTTTCAGAATCCTATCTGCTGCTCGCGAAGACGCTTTATCAACGCGATGCCATTGGAGAGAATCGGGGTGAGATTATTTTGGCAGTCTTACGTTAACAAACACACCCACAAAACAGAAATCAGATCATTACAGGAATCCCTCGGTTAACGCGACTAATGTGTATATCGGCAACTATAAAAAAAAAAATCAATTTTCACTTAGTACTATTAAACAGAAGAATGTTTTACTAATCGAATATTATGTATGTATTAATCGAATTTTGATATATAAAAATTTTAGCGCACTAATCGAGGGATGTCTGTATATTATAGATGGTGAGAAAATGAATGACTAGATGAAAAAAAAAAAAAAAACATTAGTGACGCGTTTCGTTCCGAGAAGACATTTCTTCGGACAGATACCGGTTTTGTTAATGGAAACGTAAGAAATGTAATAAACACGAGCTGCAGTTTGCATCGAAACGTTAATAACACAGAGAAACCAAGCCTTTAAATTAAAATTTTGACAACCGATGTATCAAAATGTTAATGCCGTTTTATGCCAAAATATGACGATGATATAATGTAACTTATTATTTGTGAATTGCAATAACGTTTTATAATCATTTCATCCCCGAGAAAGGCGATAAAGCCACTAAGACGTAGGGCAATTACTGAAAGTGACGGAAAGCGAGAAAATGTTGCTGAAAAGAAAGGGCAATACAAAGAAAAGGATTCAAAGAGACAGAAAATGACGATTGACTTTGCATTTAAATTTTTTTAAATCCTAATTGACAGGAAAGCAAGAACCTGGAAGAGAAATCCACAAGTGAGAAGTGCGAGAGAATAAACAATTAGAATAAAATCTACGGTTACACTTAGTAATTTCAACATTAATCTAGTACTGCGCTTAAATTCGTGAGGTCGAGGTACCAAATAGGAAAGCAATATTTATTTTGAATAATACAAAAATGTAGCACAAGGCCAAAAGTGGGGATAGGAGCTAGCCACGATTACTGACCCAAACATACCACAGTATTCCTTACACTAAAACATCACATTATTACTTACCATTCTCACTACAGACACCATAATACCTCAAAGTCTCTATGTAGTCCTAATTAGTTCCCATATGTAGAATTTGTTTGGGGGGTGAATAAAAATAATATTTAAAAATGAAACCCCAATCAATATTTACAAAGATAAAAGCACATCATAATAATTACCAATGAAAATATTTATATATAAATGCACAGGGAAGCTATGTTATTGTGATGAAAGAGTGACTGAAGCTGAAGTGTCAGATCAGGGCTGATAACATTGCAGATTCTTTTGATTCTGTCAAGAATCTCTAGAT